AAGAGAATGTAGTAGGTCGTATGAGGTACAATATGTTTATGAGAATTGATGATGATGAGTAGTTGTGATTATGTCTAGTGACCAACTTGTATGTGATGTCTCATTGATGAACATGATGATCATGAGGAGGTGTTATATGACAATGATGTATTATGATGATAAGTTTTTAATGATATGATGATGATGATATTTATTATATCATTGGGTAAAAGAACCGCGGATTAGTTTCAAGTGGATGTCCATCCACTTGAAACTAGTCCACGGTTCTTTCTCCAACTGATGTAATAACTCAGTATGATTTAAAATCATTCTCTAAATTGCTGCGGTATGAAAACTTGTATGAATACAACATGAAATAAAAAAGAAATACGGAATAATAGTAGTAGCGCGTGCTAGGAGAAGTGCTACTACTAATTACCAGTAGCCCTCATAGTGAAAAGCGCTGCTACTAAGTCAATATAGCAGTAGCATGGTCTAACCGACGCTATTGCTAACCTTTAGCTGTAGCGCCTTACTAGTAGCGCGGTTCCTTGTGCTACTGATAGGCTTTAAACACGCGCTACTGCTAGGGTTTTCCCTAGTAGTGTCCAAGCAACCATAATGCCAATCACTATAGGTTCCGACCTATCTAGATAGTGTTGGCATGAGCTTGTTTAGGAATGAGAGTTTTAATAATGAAAAATTAAGTATATAATAGATCGAATTCATTCATATTCCAAGCAACCATCAAATCTTGGTTGATAAGCCCCCAAATTGCTGATGAAAGATACTAAAAGAAAAGCCATCAGGACCAGAAGCACCTTCAACATATACAAGAGCCGAAGATAAGCTTTATTTACTCCCTCCGGTTTTTTTTTAGTTTGCATATATGTCTGAAGTCAAACTTCACAAATTTGATCAACTTTATAGAAAAAAGTATCAACATTCACAATACAAAATCGATATCATTACATGTGTTAGGAATTTGATTTTCATAATTTTTAACTTCAATATTGTAGATGTTGATAATTTTTGGTACAAATATGGTCGAATTTTAAGATGTTTGACTTTAGACAATTATTATATACAGAGTAAAAAGGCTCGAGGGAGTACATCAGAACCGAAGTATTCCATTTGTAAACACTGGCACTATCCTATCACTAGGCTAATCTGGTGTTCCATTCACGGACAAAGCCGAGACTATTGGAGATATACTTTATGAGAGCATGGCTTTACTATCGTGAGGGGCCGAGGGGGTGTCTTTGAGAGAGACGGGGATCATTGGAAATCGTCTGACTATGCTTTCCGCCTGCATGCTCCTCATTCGCTGTCGAATTAATCCACAGCTCGAGAGTGGATTTCATTCTGCCTCTGATTTCTTGCAGTCCTGGTCCTGGGGGATCCTCGACGCTGGCTAGGAATCCCCGCGATACTCTATCTTCATCACGTGATATTTGATTCTGTCGACCACGATGGTGGCTACATCGCTGGTGGCAGCCCCCGTCGAGAAAGTCACCGCCGAGTAACCTCGGTGCAGAACCCTAGATGTGGTACTGCTTCCCGTCGTAGTCCTGCAGCTCAACGTGACCACGTCGCCTGCTGGTGGAATGTTTCGCAGTGCAGGAGCCGCCGGTGGATGCGGAGGCTGCGGCCCAGCGGCAGGCGGGGGTGGCAGCCCTCCTGGCCGGCTTCGCCCACCACCTCCAGGAGAGGACCGCCCATCACATGGGTACGTACGCGATCGCCGACGTGCGTGCGGGCCACATGAAATTTTTACATACTATTATACTCCCTCCGCCAATTCCAGAGCTTCTCCATCAACAACCTCGGCGACCCTTTCCTCGAGAGCAACTACGGCGTGCACTCTAGGCGGTTCGAGGTTGCCGTGCTCGACTGGTTCACCCGCCTTTGGAACATCCAGCAGGATGAGTATTGGGGATACATCACCACCGGCGGAACCGAAGGGAACCTACACGGCCTACTAGTTGGGTTAGTATATCCATTTGTGTGCACCCGGGTCATTAATTTACAACACATGAATTTAATTTTTATTTTCATCCATTTCACCAAGAATCTGGACACGTATAGTTATTTCACTCGGTTTTAAATGAATACATTAATTTCATATGCAGTTAACATTTGCAGGAGGGATGTTTTTCGTGATGGGATTATATACGCATCTTGTGACTCACACTACTCTGTCTTCAAGGCGGCTATAGGATGCATAGAGTCGAGTGCGTCAAGATTGACACGCTTGTTTCCGGAGAGATGAACTGCGTGGATTTTAAGTCCAAGTTGTTGATAAACGCCGGGAGGCCTGCGATTGTCAATGTGAATATAGGTTACCATCTTGATTTTACATTTTCATTCAGATGGTTAAAACTGGCTTTGCTCAAGTGTCCCTAGGTGGTTCATGTTGACACACTTACTTTTTTTTGCTTTTGTTTCTTTCAGGAACGACCGTCAAGGGAGCCATTGACGATCTTGACAACATCATAAGAACACTAGAGAAATGTGGGTTCCGAGATCGATTCTACATTCATTGCGATGGTGCTGTGGCTGGCCTTATGATGCCATTTATCAAACAAGTGGGTGGTGTTGAGATACGTAATTACCACATGTTGTACCAAATTTGATTTTTTTTGATAAATTGAGAAAATGACCTAACTTACTTACTTTTATTTTATTTTCCTCTAGGCACCAAAGGTGACATTCGATAAACCTATTGGAAGCGTGAGCATCTCAGGCCACAAGTTCATGGGATGTCCAGTACCAAGTGGCGTGGTAATAACAAGGCTCGAGCATGTAAAAGTGCTCTCCAGTGACATTGAATACATATCATCTAGAGATGCGACGATCATGGGGAGCCGTAATGGGCACTCGCCCTTGTTCTTGTGGTACACCCTGAACAAAAAGGGTTACAAAGGCATCCAGAAAGAAGTTGAGAAGTGCATGAGAAACGCCCATCACCTCACAAGCCGTCTCAGGGAGAAGGGGGTGAGTGCATTCCTAAATGAGCTGAGCAGCACGGTGGTGTTTGAGAGGCCGCGGGATGAGTCATTCGTGCACAAGTGGCAGCTTGCATGTGAGGGGAGCATTGCACACGTCGTGGTAATGCCAAATCTAGGTGTGGAGAAACTCGACGGCTTCGTCGAAGAGCTCGCTGTCGGAAGAAGGATGTGGCATGAAGATGAAGGGTTTAGCGTGCCGTGTGTTGCAAAGGACATTGGGGAAGAAAATTGCCTCTGTGATGTGCATGACAAGAATTCAAGAGCCGCATAAGATCGTTGGAGGATTGGAGAATGAATCGTATAAACCTGAGTTTTCAAGGGCACGTTTGATTGATTTGGCTTTCATAATTTGGACCTAAATGGCCATTATCATCATTTTATTTTGTTACGTTTTCTGCGATAGTGGCGTGTATTTATTTATTTATACATTGGTTAACCAATTGATTGATTTGGTGTTTTCTATTGTGCATGGTTTCAAATTATTTTATTTGCATCATGCTTGCTCCGGAAGAACCACACGGGGTAGCAACTTGTTGGGCCCCCAAGTGCAAATGTTTCCAGCTAGGACCTAGTTTTCCTCTGTTAAGAAACCAAGGTTACCAATCCATGAATCAAAGATTTCTGGTTAAGTGATAAGCCCTACATCGCAATTGAGTACATCCTTGAGTTTGTAACAATTATAGTGGGGTTGTCAATCTCACTAACTTTCCTAGTTGTAACAATTATATTCCTCCCAGTCTCATTTCAACCTCTCGCTGCACACATCCATCCTCCTCATGTTGCATCCCACCTCTCCCCCTCCTGTAATAGCATGCAACAAGGTCGGCCACCCATGCCACCCTACTAACGGGACAACATGGGGGCTGCTGCGAGCGGGGAGCCATGGCCTGCTGCAAGTCGGTTCCTTTTATTGACGTCAATGGCTCCAACCGACGACAGTGCTGCAACCATTGTTAGTTTTTGCTACGACCAGCGACAAAATTTGCTGCAACTGGCACGGCGGGATGCTGGGATGGCATGCACAATGAGCTACAACCAGGCGATGTCATATTTTTTGCTACCATTCTCAGCGTTTGCTACGACCGGTGACAGAAATTGCTGTGACAACAAAGGCCATGCTTTTGTGACCAGCGAGGCGTCTTCCTCAGCGGCGCTGGAAGACGGCGAGCGCTGGTGGCCGGCGGGGAGCACGGGGTAGCCGGCAAGCGCAGGTGGCCTAGGGCGAGCGCGGCGGCCATGTTTTTCCCCGGGATTTTCTCGTACAGGAGATGCGAGCAAGGATGAAGGAAGAGATTGGCTCAGATCCGTAAACAAAATGAAGTGGCTTTCGTCAGTATAATTTAGTTTCTTCATTTGTATGAGATGTATATAGTTGGTTCTATGCATGGAGTTCAAACGAAGATCTGTTTCGGTGTTTTAGTATAGTTCTCTACGGCAAGAAAACAAAGACGACGACTGGCGGCAAGAAAACATACAAATAAGGCGACGACTGACTGGTTCTGAGAGACCTCCTACAGTGAATTATTACTTGTGATTCCCCAAAACGAATCATTTCATCTCACTACTCCCTCCGCATTCATATTACTTATTTTAGATTTGTCTAGATACACCCCTCCACATCCCTATTACTTATTTTAGATTTGTCTAGATACAAAAGTGTCTAGATACATCAAATATAACAAGCATCAAATAACAGTGAATTACATGAATACAAGCCTACAAAGTAACATAACAAGCATCAAATATATCAATTGCTGCATGCGATGCATCAAGTTGACATAGAGGTGACTATCGCATTGCCCAGTAACAGTGAATTACATGAAAAGAAACAACATCACAATCAGGGAACAAGACTTCAAAATATGCACTTTGCAACTGTCCTGATGAGCACATGGCATAAGCCACAAGCTGAAAGTTCTATGTGTGCATATCATTAAGCAACCTAGAGTTTATATGATAAGAATGCACTATGCTGACTGAGTTATTCAAGAAGGAAACAAGGCCATGGGCTCATAGCAGATGCAAGAGCTGGGGAGCTTGATAAAGCAGATGCAGAGGAGACAATAATGATGCTGAAAGGGTGTAGATCAAGAAAGGATATGGTACAACAACATAAGGAACCAGATTAAATACATTCTGACCAGGGATATTCAATCTGCATTGCACCAAGCACATCACCCTGAATGATAAAGGGTCCTCATCATCATCATCATCGCCAGGAGCAAGGAAAGTCTCCAGCTCAAAAAGCTCATTTTCACGGACCAGCGCTTTCAGGTCCCCGGGGACAGCCGGCAGCAGGGTGTAGCGGCGGTGCACGGGGTCGCACACGGCGAGGTCCCTGACCAAAAAATTGTGGTACCGGAAGTGGCGCCCACCAAGAACGCTGTTTTCTTCCTGGACTGGGGCGCCGGCGATGAGGGCGCGTCCGTCGAAGAAGTCAATCCGCCTCCAGGTACGGCCGGCGGTGGAGGGGAGGAAGGAGGAGCAGGAGAAGTCGAAGCCGGCGAAGGCGCGGGCGGCGACGGCGGAGGGGTGCGGTGGCTGGGCCTGGATGAAGGTGCCATTGCGGACCACGCCGATGAGAGGCGGCGGGTGGAGGGCGCGGTAGCGGTGGAGGAAGGCGTGGTCGGCGATGAGACGGCGGAAGGAGCGGCACGCCGCGGAGGCGCGGGCCAGGTCGGCGGCAGCGGGGAGGCGGAGGAAGATGTCGTGGAGGAGCTCGTCTGGGGTTCTGAAGATCGGCGTCTCCGGCGGTGGTGCTGGCTGCGGCAGCGCCATCGTCGGGGTGGCCGGCGTCGTAGTTGGGGATCTACTGACAGAATGGGCATCTCTTCTGTGACTTGTTCGATGGGCTTGCTGAGGATTGGGCCTCGTTCGTTTTTATGGCCTTTTCCCATCTATTCATTTAGAGCCTGGTGAACAACCTACTGCATTTTTTGGGAAAAAAATATATGTTAGTCACCCTAAAAAATTCATGTTAGTCCCTGTAAAAGAAATCATGCAAGTATAATGGTGGCTCGTTTCCGAGGGAATGATTAACATTTTGGGTTAATATCTTTGCTAGGAGCATAGCTTTGTTGTTAATAGTTTGCATATGTCCTATTTTCGCAAAAAGAAGTACGACGGCATCCAGGTTTTTGAAGTTCTCTCAAGGTCTTCACCTGAACAAGTAATAAATAGCATTTGTTTTTGGCGATGCCAAGCCTTTGATCGAATTCTCGAAAACTCTTACTTGGTTTGTTCATGGCGCGGAGTTGATTCATACCATGATACATGCTTACAAATATGTCATATTTTTGTTTCCCCGCGGTATACATTCCACACAAAAAAAAAATCATCGGAACACGATGTCATGTTGTTGTCTCTCTTCCCCAGCTCACATTCATGCAATCTTAAACAAAAGTATCATTTTGGCTAATTTGCACTTCCATGCACATAAGAATTCTCACCTTAATAATATTTTAGCATTACCACACAAAAAAAGAAAATTAATGTGTCTAGTGGCCATTTCATCCGGTACGTTGGGGAGCAAATCCCAACTTTTTGCACTCATTCATGCTCCAAACACTGCAACCGACACAACCATTCAAGTACAGGTTGGGATAGACGGCGACTGACAATGTCAACAACGTGGAATGGGCGCGGCTACGTCTCCCCTATTGCGAGAAGGTACCTCGCCTTACCTTAGAGGAACCCCTTACTGGGCTGGGCCAGTGCTAGTACATTACCTTTTCTATTTTAGTTACATTCATTTGTATTTGGTTCGTTCCTTTTTTTACTTATGTTTATTCATTTGAAATATTCTAAATGCATATATTTCATAAGGCTAATTTGCTTTATATTTTAAAAGCATTCATATGAAATGCTAGAAAAATGGTCACACTTAAAGGATGCCAAGCGATGAACATGTGCTAGGGTGTATTTGCAACTCGTTTAATCCATGATTATAACTCCCTCCATAAAGAGATATCAGAGCATTTAGATCACTACTCTAGTTATCTAAATGTTCTTATATTTTTTTATAAAGGGATTACCAATGAATAGGATATAACTTCTCTTTCCTGGCAGGCTACGTCCCAGGAGACGTCCGGATGGGGTACCTGGCAGGATCCGCCTGAGGGGCCGAGTGGCCATGCTGATGGTGGTGGGCATCAGATTTCTGATAGCAGCGAGGACGAGGTGGTTGAGGGGGGCACCGTCTACCAGCATGGTAGTACATGGCTCTCGTCCGTGCCGGCGACCCGCGAGCATAGGTGGCTAATTTGGCCTGATGGGATGAGGTAAGTGCATTTACTCCTTTTCTATCTTTTGCCATCATGGTTTTTTCAAAATATCTAATGCGTTGGCCTTGTCATACTGCAGGGGTTGAGACCACCCTCAGGATGTCCGCAGGCCCAACAAAGTCCTTGGTGTGATTTGCCGAAAAAACTTCCCGGCACTACTAGGAAAACCCTTATCAGTAGGGCTGGTTTTTTGGCTATTAGTAGCGCGGGCAGGCGCGCTACTGCTAAAGCGCTACAGCTATTTTTTAGTAGTAGCGTGTGTTTTAACCAGTGCTACTGCTAACTATGTCTGGTAGTAGCGTGCCTCTGTCCATCGCTACTGCTAATAGTAGTAGCATGGCTATACAAAAAACACTACTGGTAAAGCAGCGCTGCTACTACTCCAAAACCCCACGCTACTGCTAGTATTTTCTTTTTTCTATTTTGCTATATTCGTATTTTTATAGGTTTTATACAATTACAACATACACATACACTGAAACTATATGAAAAATGAATGTCTCATCATCATCATCGAAGTGGCACAACATAGTCTCATCATATCATCATTATCAAACACAAATGATGTCGATCTCATCATCATCTCGAAATAGCGATACAAGTTAATGATCACATGACTCTTACATTGTCACCGTAGACACATGTTTCATCATCTACCTAAACTATGACATACGAGATAAGAGCAATCACGATGATCAAAGCGGTATTATGTAGTAGTTTTCGAAGCGGCGCTGGTTCTGAATCCCCTGTTGTGCCATGAATCTCAAGTAACTAGCTTCGGCTTCCGCTCTACTATCAAACCCTTTCTGGCTTCCGCCGGAGAAGCCAGAGACCTGGGCCTGACACTCTGGCCACTCATCATACACACCAGGAACATGCCCTACATACACGGCATACCACTTCCTCGCCATCGTTGATCTATATACCTGTCAGAGATGCACATATATATATTATATATATATCATGAAGCGAATTGAACGAAACAGTTATGAAATAGAAACAACATATATAGTAAACATAGTTAACAAACACATCGTACCGAAAGTAATTAACTAGAGCGCGGCACCATACATCTAATAGTTTTGTCGTACTGAGACATTCGATGTTTCGTCGTACAGAGAAAGTAACAAGTAACTAAACAGACACATTGTTTTTAAGTACTGAGACATCCCATCTGTCCATATCCGGGAGGATGGACCCAAGCTTAGTGAAAGGCGTCATGTCCTGACGTTGTAGGGTAATGCGGGTTCGGACGTCAGCTCGCGATATTTGGCCACCATAGAACATCCCATTCTCTTCGAGGACATCTTTCATGATGATGGACGCAATTTCCTGCTGGATCCGGTAGAAATCATTTCGAAGTCGATTATCCGGCACGGCTCCAAAGGCTTCGGCCCATCTCTGGATATGGGTATCGGATGAAGATTTCATGCAAAGTGATTGCACATCCCTGACGTAGAATCCATCGTTCTCACTTCTTGCCGGTTGCTGAATGCAACAGAAGTCAGTCTTGTGGCTGAAACAGACCCCGGCCTTATTTGTTTTTTTTGCTTTGAATGTAGCCACCCCGCATGCTGAAGCCCAGCATAGCTCTGTCCAGAACATACTTTATATGTGTGTAATCTTTCTTCTGTATGTTCTTCGCTGGGTCCAAATATAGAGCGCGGGAGTAACGAGGGTAAAGAACGATGAGAACGGCACGACATCCCCCGCTGCCGAAAATACACGATCAAGTTAGCCTCCATGTGTGCAAAGTAATTATTGAAATGCACGAAAGGATGTATGTGTCATAGTGCTATCCGCGGATGACTTACCCGGGATGATAAGGTAGGAGAATCGTTTCTTTGTCCTTATTGCTGACCGAGAATTCTTTGACGTATTGACTCGCATATTGACAGTTGGCATCATTGATTTACAAGAAGCCCTCATGCATGTAGTATGGGTCCGCGACCGCAAGATCGGTGACTTGTTCTCTCCTGACAATGTAGTTCATGTGCAGCGCATACAGGCGGGCGAACGTAAAATCGAGTATCCTCATTTGAAACATCTGGAAGATGTAATCATTGAGTCATGGAGTCTCCTGAGATCCCCTGTTATGGCAGCTAGTGCATTCGCCCGTACCATTGGCTCTCCCGCGACATGGATTAATGGCGCATGTTTCATCGGTACACTGCCAACCTTGGTCGAAGGCAGCTGGCTGCTAGAACCAACATTGCCAGCTTTATTGGATTTTCTCGCCGCCGGTCTCTTCCTCTGCTTCTTCTTAGTGGGCTGAGGTGCTGGTGGGTCTGTCAGACCCTCCCTGAGCACCACCCCTAGTGTTGTCGGGCTCAGCATTGGACGACTCTGGCTAAGTAGCTGAGCTTGGGTGGAACCGGCATCTGGAGGCGTGTCCTGCGAGGATTGCATGGACAAAGATTTCTTGCACTCCCGAGGACGTTCTGACTCTGGTACATGCATCTCATATTCATATGGTTGACACAGTGTTACTTCCATGTCATAGCCGGTATTGATATACTGGAGAGGGTCCTTGGCCTCCTCCATGTCATCATCCATATCCTCTTCCATGGGGCAAATGGCATCATTTCTCGGAACGGTTGGCCCTCCTTCCTCGTGTCTCTCGATCTCAGCAAGCGGCACAGACGATGGTTGTACTTGTGTAGGAGGGGTTGTGGTCATACCTTCCTGAGGTCCCGTTGGTGTGCTCCCGGCCACCTTGACACGAAGAAGATTTTTCGGCCACAGGATCGGCCAATTTTTGCATTTGCCAAGCTGCATGGGGGTCTCGTCATCCTCTCCATCGGTTTGTATTGGAGGAGGGAAACCCTTGTAGCCTGCTTTCACACTCGCCACGGAGACCCTTAAGGTGTTATCAGGCATCTGCCGGCGGTGGAACAATCGATCCTTGGGCTTCACTATAGTACCCTTCCCCACATCCTCCAACCAACCCTTCATGTGGTAACGGAGGGTGCACGGAGTGGAGTCGGCCTACAAAGACATATATGTGCAGCGTCAGAGATCCAAAAATAATGGCAACTGAAGATTAATTAATTAGTTGAGTTTATGAAGGTGCGATGCGTATTTACCGTGAGGGCTTAGAGCTTAGCCAATGTCGACGGCCCGACGTTCAAGCCAGAGACGGAGCTAGGGCTGCTGTGACAGCTGGGTGCAGGAGCAGGTGCTGGAGGAGGTGCGGGTGCGGGTGCAGGTGCGGTTGCCATACTAGGTACTGCTATGGGTCCGGTGTTCATTGAGTTGCTCCCGGAGAAGCTGGGCATGGGAAAATCACTTGGTGGCACGTTTGGATTTTGTTGCACCCATGTGACCACAGTTGGAATCAAGCTTGTAAAGGAAGCCGCCATATCATGTCTACAGGCAGCGATTATCTCAGCTTTGGTCTCAGCTTTTGCTTTCTCCATCGTCCGCGCCACCTTCTCGTCGATAGTCACTTGATTGAACTTCTTTCTCTGTCTTTTGGCCTCGGGGTCCTCGCTA